TCCTTAATTAAGGAATATTGGAGTCCAGGGTTTCGGTTTCCGCAGGTACGGGCGTAGAAGGGCTTGGCATGGCTATACCAGGATTGTGGCCTCGGCTAGATCGTAGTCGGAGCTGGATTTGCGTGGAAAAAACAGAGAATCGCAAAGCAACTAAACAGGGTACAACCCTGGCTTCAACAAAGCACGAATGTCCGAAAGACTGGTCACCCACCGACCTCATTTGCAGGAGGTAGGCTCCTATCTCCTCAAGCCTTGCAAAGTTTACAAAAGCCTGATGTAAAATCCCCCTAGCTAGAAGCCCCTATTCATTTTGGCCCCCGAAATCAAATCCGTTGAAGACTATAGCCCCAATACACCTGCCATGCTAAGGACTTATATCGAGAAATCAGAAAAAGGAACCCTTGAAAAGTAGCTTTACCCATAGCTATAGGCCCCATAGTAGTTCCTTTTTTGGGATTCCCTACTAGGATCCTAAATATGAGCCACAAAAAGGAACTACTATGCCGCCGATGGGTACAGGGTCAATGTAAGGCCAACGGACCGGCCTGCTGCTGTGGCAGGCACCCCACGTTTGCGCAGGACTTCAGCAGCATGCGTACCTGCAGCCAAGAAAGGAGGCAGGGTCAAGGGGTTTATGGGTCCTGCAAGTTTAAGGTTAAGGGGCCTAAGGTTTCTGAAGTGGTGTCGTAATGGCGGGTTGTGTCGGTTTCAATTATCAAAATGTATGTGTGAGGCTTCCTGAAACAGCAACTACTTGGAGCAACACGAGCACTGCGCTGTCTTTGCCTGCACCAGAATATGTCCTGGCCAGAGAGGGGCAGCATCATCAAAACATCAAAATGACCCTTATCTTTCTTGTGTTCCTGTATGTGTTCGACTCCTGCAAAACGCGTGCGAGGTCCAGGTGTCCATTCTGCGCTGAGATGGAGCAAGGTATACCAAGGTGTCGCGCCACCCTTACATGGCTTGGTCCTTGTCTGCATTGATCTCCAGCAGAAGGCACGCAACCTCCAACCGCCCGTTCTGAGCTGCAACGAGCAACGGGATGGTGCCATCATGCATGGCCCCTTGTCCGAATGGGCCTCCAGCAACAGACGTACAACCTCCAACTGTCCAATCTGCGCTGCGATGAACAAAGGGTTGTGGCCATGATGCATGGCCTTGTCGGCGTCCGCATTGGCCTCCAGCAAAGACGTGCAACCTCCAACTTCCCCATCTCAACTGTTATGAGCAAACGTGGCACCATCTTCCAAGGCATTGTCGATGTATGCATTGGCCTCCAGCAAATGCCGCGCGACTTTCAACTGTCCATCCTCGATGAACAAGGGCTGTCGTCATCTTCCAAAGCCTTGTCCGCATTGGCCTCCAGCAGAAATCGTGATACCAAATCTGGGTCTTGCGTCTAATGTCAAGCTATTTCTTGCAGTATCCCAAAGTTCTGCTGCTTGCATGCCAGATGCTGGGCAAAAGTTTAGAAGCACGACCCGAACTTCGCCTTGTCTCAATCCGTGATCTTCATCTAGAAGTGCATCAAACACCAATCTTTGCCGGAATCTTGGCAGCCCACGCATGCTGTGCAAGTACTGCTTCAATGCCTGGACCGGATGCCTGCCTCCAGGAAACATCTCGAAAAAGCTCGCCAAGTCAAGGGCATCGAGTCCTTCACTCGACGCTGCCCGCATCTGCAGCATGGCTAGCGGCGGCGAACGCTAGACAGAAGAGAAGTAGACTCGAAAAAGAACTAGGCTCTGCTGCATTCTCTCGACGTTTAGACAGGCCTGCACTCGGCAGCAGAGGATGTTGACCCATGCGCTGCATCTACAGATTTGTGTGGAATGTGCTGCGTTGAGCACGGTTCAGATGAACATCCCTTTTGTCAACCCTATCTCCTAAAAACAAGACCTCAACCCTAGACCTAAAACTCTATGTTAAGCCGGTCTCTTGGCTAGCATGTGACCAGCCGAAGTCCGCAGCCGCTCTATGCCCCGGCACAAACGCAAACTCAATGTATCCTGACACCTAGCCGAGGGGCCTCAACAACTCTTATTTATTAGTTGTGCTTTTTTTGGGCCTCCCCCCCCCGGACCCAGACCCTCTTCCTGCGTTTATAGTAGCACTTTGAACAGAACTTGCAGCTTTTGCTTCGGAAGTAGCTCGTATACTAATTTTTGTTGCTGTGAATCACAAAGCTTACTTCCATTGGAAGTTTCTGATTAAAACACAATTTTGCCATAAATGGGGAGTGTCGATAATATGGGGCCGGTAACGTCTTATTTACTGTATACATATATATATATATATATGTATGTATACAGATGTATTACGTCCGAAGGGAACTACATTGGAGACTTTGGGTTGGATGTGCTCAAGCAGAACAACCCTGGCCGGGATTCTTGAAAGTTGGGTTTCGGACTTGGGATATATCGGTTTACAAGAAAGTTGCGGTTCGGTCCCAAAGGGTCCGAGTACTAGTATAGTCGTATAGTATATACTTTGGGGGCCCGAATACCTACTAAGTACCTACAATAATGGTACTTGGACCCTTTGGGGGTTGTCGCAACATGACAGTCCGCTCTGGCATTCGGCCCCTCGTCTGGAACTCTAGTTACCTGTCTTCACCTTCTTTGCGGGATGTTAGAACAAAGCAAGAACAAGGACATGCAAATCCGAAAGTGTAGAGCTGTTGAGCAAAACCCCAAAGCTGCAAACCACGGGGCACATGCCAGCACGTCACCCGAGCGGACGAGAACGTCGCCATCACGGGGCGGCTGAATGGAAGGCCTTACCTGGCAAACCAACGTGGGTTTTTTTGTGTCTTTTCTTTGAAGGTGGTTTGGGGTTGAGAGTTTGGCGTTAAGGGTGCAGGGCTTAGGAACACCCTCTTGGAACTAGAAGATAGCGCCTCCAACGAGGGTCCTTGCGAGGTTTTGTTGTGGACTTCCTGTGGTCTGGACAGGGTTTTATGGACTGAGGTGCCGGCCAGTGCCTATGCAGCCCTCACCCCCTCTTAAGGCAAGCGCGCACAGAAAAAGCTGTGAATGACAACAGACTGAAGCTTAGGCTGAAGATCCCCTGAAGGTAGATTCTCACTTTGACGCAGTCCTTAACCTCTTGAGGTTCACTGTCTGTGTGCCGCCGGGCCCCACCATTTATCCGGGGTGTTCCGAAGAGAGCTAACTCTCTTAAGATTCTCTCCCAGCACCAGGCGGTTACCTTGGCCTTGTCCACTGCATTCGGAAGTGCATCTATCTATGTAGTCCATACTATAATCATGGCTGCCGCAGACTTTGAGACAATCTCAGATGGGTTCTTGAAAGAAGTGAGTAAAGGCCCTCCCTCCTCTGGCATTTGAAGTCCTTCGGCGTCAAAGTGCCATCATCGTAATCGGTGTTTTCACCCGATTTCCTGGAGACGAACCCGTGACAAGAATCTGACATGGGCGTCCCGGATGGCCGCTGGGACATCGGACTTTCCTAGAAAGATTCGCGCGTCTAAGCCCAAGAGCCTTCAGCCATTCCCTGAACCCTTAACCCACACGATTCGAAAGACAATGGAGGGGCCTTACTAATTAGAAAATGGCTTTGGGGTATCTTATGTTATAATTATAATAAGGAGCCCCCCCAAATAGTACAGATAATTATCTAAGGCCCCTATACCACATATTTTAGGGTTCTGACCCTAAACCTCTAAACCCTAAACCCTAAGCTGATTCAGACATCGAGTCCAAAATCTCTCAAAGCCAATGAACCTTATGAAAGCCAGCCCTAAACCCTAAACCAAAACCCTACACCCGAAACTCTAAACCGTGGCAATAAAGACACACCATCAGC